TGCTTCTGGATTACCTGCTTCAGTTTCATCATAGTTCCTTCGTTGTCGGCCTTCAAGTTGATGGCTCCATATCCTAGCTGGGTGCTCAAGTAGGTGACTCCTTCGCAAAGGTGTTCTACAAGATCCTTTCCTTTGGATGCTGTAGGGATACAGACCATGTTCCTACTCCAAGAATCAACACACACAAGACTAACTGCTGCTGGTGCCTCATCGTGACTTGTTCCTGTGAAACAGAAATCCATGCAGAAAGTTGGTCTCGAAGATCTTTCCTTCTCTGGGTTCTCACGAAGATGTGGAGACTCTTTTCCTTTGCATGCTACACATGTAGGACACCACGATGCGTAAGGTAAGTGTGTGAGATTATGTACTGCAACTTCTTCTGGCTTTGGCTGTTTTGGTACCTTCAGAGGTTCTGCTTCAATGTACTCCTTGTACTTCTTCTGAGCTGCGGTAAGCTCCATGTGCCTTTCTGCTTCCATGATCGACCTGCTGAGTCTTCTAAGAATGTCCTGCTTAGAACCAAACTTTGAAACTCCAAGTTCCTTACAAAGTTCCTTCAGGGCCTTGAGGCTGTTCTGCTGGTTGTACTCATGACAGTTGAAGGTAAATGACAGTTCTCCTGCAAGCTCGTGTCTGTGCGCTGGTGCTTGGGCCTCTGAGGTCTCTTCCTGTTCTTCTTCCTGTCCTGGGATCGTGTCCAGCTGGTGAACCTTCTGTTTCGGTTTCCTGGCCTTGGGGTTCACTGGTTCAATGAGTTCAAATACACTGCGTCCTGTCCAAGATAAACCTCCTAGTGGTTCTGGGTCTCTGTGAGGCTCATCCAAGGTCCAAAACTTATCATCCTCAAAGAAATCCTTGTTGATCGGTTCTTCTCCATAGGTGTACCTGTCTGGTTTGAGATTTCCAATATCCACTGGAATGTCGTTGGTGTCTCGAGGATTGAACAAGGTCTTTCTCAACGAGTTGTGGTACCTAGTGAGTGTTGTACCATCCATGCTGATTGACCATGCATCTTCAGTGTACTCTTCGAACATTTTGCGATCTTCATCTTCCTTGGGTGTACCTATGAGGGTCAATGGAAATTCCTTGAGCGATACTAGCGTCAATGTTCGATACTCTTTGCTGCCATCAAAGATCGTTCCGAATGGCTCTTCAAGTTCCTCAAACATGATGCTGTGATGCAACAGATACCACTGATCATCATCCTCAATGAGTACTGCTCTGTACGCAAACTTTCCTGGTGGAAACATCAAGTAAGTATCAACGTGCTCTGAAGTTCCTAGGCTGTAGTGGACTTGGTAAGGGTCTCTCCAATTGGTCCAACCAACACGTTGCTCTTCAATGAGTTCCTTCAGGTTCTCGCACAAATATATGGGAATAGGCTTGGCTTCTGCTTCCCAGTTGACTGCTCTCACAAAGGCTTTTGTTGTAAGTGAGTTGTTGTTGTAGTTCACCGCAATCTTGGTTGTTCCTTCTGTGAGGAAGGTGCCTGTAGTTGTTCCATCTCTGAACTCCCAACTTCAACAGCTTACCTACTGCTAAAAGAGGGTGCACTACCGATGAAATCAAGAACACTTCTTCAACCTTCACGATGTTTCCTTGAACGTCTCGAAACTCAACCTCAATGATCCTTTGGTCTGAAACCTTGATACGAGATCCTTGTGCGTCTCGCAAAACCACCTTAGTAGTGTTGGGTGCTGTCCTTCCGTACTTCTTCATCCACATTGGTGCCAACGAGACGTCGGCTCCAGAATCCAGCACTACCTCGATCTCTCGAGTCCTTGAGTTCCTTGCTGCACGAACAAACCTGGTGCTTGTCCTTGAAGGTGCTGTTCCTTCAACTCTGTTCCTCCTGGGAGGATGGTGACATCCATACTCGCATTCCTGCATGTTCGGGTGCCAAGGTGTTTCATGACATCCGTTGGGGCATTCGTAGTAGTATCCACGATCTTGCGTTCCTACTGGGGTTCCTGCTAGATGCCACTGCCACCATGCATCATCACTCACCTCATCACAGTCCTGAAACTCATCATCTTCATCACCAATCCAAAACTCTTCTGTCTCACTTCTCTCTTCCTGAACTTCTTCACCAACAACCCGCAAAACTCTTCCGAAGTACTCAATCTCAATTTCCTCTGAATTTTCACTCATCTCGAATTCTTCCGGAAAGCTTGTGGGCTCGTCTCCCATATGGTACATAGAGACCATCCTAATCACTGGTCGTTGTGTTCCTTGACTTGCTTGGCTCTGGCTTGCTGAGGTCCTATTGCTTGACGAAGGGGCCTGAGTAGAGGTACCTGTGGTGCTTGCCTGTTCACTTTGGTTCTCGAGGTCTACGTTCCTTGCTTGGTAACCCATGTCACGCTGCTTCTGTCTACACTGCGCTTCGAAATGTCCGTACTTCTGACAGTAGTGACAAACTCCTGTAGCTGCTTGGGCTTTTCCTTTGCCTTTACCTTTGCGTCTGTAGAATCCTTTTCCTCGACCTTTACCTTTTCCTTTGTAGCCTCTGAAACCTCTACCTCGACCTTTCCAGTTGCCTCGACCTCTGCCTTTGCCAAAACCTCCAAAACCTTTTCCTTTACCTTTGCCTTTACCGTCGAATCCGAAACCTTTTCCGAAATCCTTTCCACCTTTCTTGCCTTGTCCTTTGCCTTTGCCTTTGTTATGAACATAACCTTTGCCATAGCCTTTCTTACCTTTGTACCATGCTTGATTGATGTCCATTGCTGCAAGACCACCATGGTCATCACCTTTGTCGATCAAGTCTGTCGTGGTTCGGTGAGGTGTTCCTTGCTGGGCTGACAAAGAGTTAGTCCAACGCTCTGTTGACTCGTAGTTCACAAGGTACTGACGAAGAGCTGTGTACTGTGTCTTCTCGTCAAGGTTGAGCAACAAGTGCCTTTTAACATCAGGCTTCATTCCTTGGATAAGAGTAGATACTTTCAAGTTCTCTTGTACCTTTTCTCCTGTCGCCTTCTCGTACTTCTCGATGTGTTCCTCATATTCGAGGATGTTCTCAGCAATTCCTTTGTTGTGAGCAAACCTGTAGTTGAGGATGTTGTGAAACAGTTCCAACGATCTTGCACGATTCGTTGGTTGATATTCCTTCATCAACATACGGTAGGCTTCCATACCGTTTTCCTCTCCTACGTGCTTTACAACACGGTAAGGCCTTCCTTTGGTATATGAACAAAGAACACTGTACAGGCGGCGGCTAGCTTCCTTTGCTTCTCCAGACATCTCACTCATCTTTATCATCTTATCGTCTCTCAAGTTCCTTTCGACGATGTCCATGATCTTCACCATATTGTAATCCACTGCTCCAAGCCAGATCCGCATCCTGTTCCTGAACTCTGTCCAGCCACTCTTCTCTTCCTGCCATGTTCCTGGGGAAAACGCTTCAGGGCTTTTGATCAACTTGTGCAACTCCACTTCTCCAGGCTTTCTTTGTTCCTTTACTGCTTTCTCCAGAGATGCTCCTATCTCCTCAAGTGTGGTTGCTGCGTTCGTGTGAGCGTCTGCTAACGCTGTCTGTGCTGCCTTTTGCTGTTCCTGCACTGCTGTAAGTATTTCCTGAAACGCTTGTGTAAGTCCTGCTTCTCTTTGGCTTCCTGAAGCTGCTGAGTTCCTGATCTCCTCTGCTAGTGTCTGTATTCCTTGTAAGGTCTGCGCATTGATCTCTGCAAGCGCTTTCAATGCATCCTCCATTCCTTTTGCTGCTTCAAGGTTGCTTGCACACTAGTGCTAAAAGTAGTGACTTGCACTGCTTCCTGTTCACTGCTTGTGCTCTCCTTTCTCCTCTTGTTTTCCTTTGGGGCTTTGAGCTTCTGCTTGCTCTTGTGAAAAACAAACTAGAATAGTACGACAGGGTGATCCAAGTAATCAGTCCCATTGGGGTTCCTAAGAACACTGCTATGCGAATTCCTTGAAATAAAACTCTGTTGGAAATGACTTCCTGAACTATCACATGCACGACGTCGTGAAACTTCTTTCCTACAGTTGCTAGCTTTTCTACGAAACTCTGAACATGTTCCTGCACAAGCTTTCTCAGTACTCCTCGCTGTTGTTTTACTAGGTACCTAGGGGCGTAGCCTGACTCAAGGCTCTCACTCTCCTGGTTCTCGGTGTTCTGGTCGCCGTTCCTGTGCTCTTCCGTGTAGTACTCGCCGGTCACGCCAACGACGCTGTAGAGCTCGTTCAGCACTTGGTTCGCACACAGCAAAGCGTACGGTACCATGACTTTTCCTATCTCCACGTAGTCCTTGATCGTGTACGCGTTCGTGTTCCTGATCGTGTTCACGCTGGTGCCGTCAAGGTTCACGCTGCACTCGTTGTAGCCTTCCTGGTAGTACTCGCCGTACACGTCGTAGTTGCTGTAGCGGTTCCGGTGCGTATTGGGCTTCCTTGTTCTGCTCGCCCACACGGCCATGAGCTCGCTCTCGTCGCTCTCCACGTACATAAGTTCCTTTCTCCCACGGCTCGCATCCCTGGAGGATACGCCATCTCCAAGGGCAAGTTCTTCCTTGACCTTCTCGCTGTTGCCAAGGGCCTGCCACGGTGTCACAACCAAACTTCTTGTTCCTGGGCTCAAGGTCATCCCGCACAAAGTTGCGAGGCATCCCAGGGCGAAACCAACCAGCAGCACAATGCATGCTGCCAGACCGTAGCACTTCACGTTCCTGTACTCCTTCTGTTCCACCAGCACTCTGTCGGGGTAGCAGTCTGAGCACGCGTCGAAGTCTCGAGCGTTTCCTGCTGTCACGTTGTTCTGGGGCCCGGCTCCCCATTCGCCTTTTTCCTCCGAGTAACGTGGCCTTCTCAAGGCTTGTAGGGCTGCTATAAAGGCTTCTGGAAACGGCATACAGTAGCAACCTGCTGAAGGGAGGCCAAAAAATAAGAAAGGACGAAGACCGGACAATCCATAATTGGGTCGGTTGCCGCGAATTTGTATCTGGCCAGCAGCGGCCAACAAGGCGCACGTCAAAAACATCGTTTGTTTAGGAGTAACGTACACAAATCCTTGGCAGGCATGGCCTCGACTGCTGCACAACAGAATAGAACTGTAAATGATTGCCCAGCCGTCCACAAGGGTACCAAACTGATGCACAGCCAAAGCTCTGCATGCATAGTTCTCCAAGGCATAGTTGATGATAGGCTGCGGATCTCCCAGCTTCAAGACCATCTCTCTGGCATTCAGCAGCATGGGCTCGGCAGGCAGCAGAAACCAATCGTTGGGGTCGGCCGGGTTGATATCCTAGCAGGGTCATTGTCATGAAACAAAAACTCAATGGCAACTGCCTGTCGAAAGACTGGGGGTTTCGGCGCTCGCACTCGGACAATCCAGTTATTGCATGCAGTCAGCGGCCCAACCAGCACAAGCCCTTGCAACCCTACCCTACTAGGATTAGGCGACTCTGCAAGAGCCATATTAGTACCCCTAGACAATCTGATGGATTAGGAGCAGCGATGTGCAAATTTTTAGGCAATCTGACCTTCATCTGAAAAGCACTGGTTGGGATGACAGCCACATGATGGTTTTGGCCATCGACCACCTTCGTTTGCTTCAGCAAAGAGCAGACTCGCAGCACCACGTACGGAGCATCCACCACGAGAAACAAGTCCTGCCGACACTGCCAGACCTGGACAAAATAAGCAGCAGCAACAAAGGTTTCAACTAACTCGGCGACCCCAATATTGAAATCGATTGTAAAAAAGCAGTAATATGAAATAAGAACGACATCGCAAACCTGGACGAGGCACCTGAGCAGGCCTGGCGAGCTCCGTGACCCAGGTTCTGGACATATCACCGTCCAGCCTCTTGCATGTCGACCACACGTTCAGGGCTTTGCGATTGAAATGGTAAGGCGAGGTAGCCGCCTCGCGAGCGATTGCATTGAAGTTCTCCAATCCTGTGTCAGCTGCAGTGTCGCGCTTCGCGGTGAAAATCGAAGTCTTGATGACTTGCTTCATCGGCACTGAATGCACAAGTGATGGCGATGGAGAGATGGTCTCGAAGTTCTCGTATCGCTCGGCCACTGCCTGTATCGATGCAGTTTGCAGCTGCACAGGCGCAATTTCGCCTCCAGATTGGCCTCTTTCTCCCAGACGTAGGCTGCGAAAGCAATTTTCGCAGCCCAATGCGCTCGAAGGATCAGCGAGCCAAGCTCGCACCAGGTCTTTCAGATCGTCAGTCAGCCGCCACCGCCTCTCCTGGCAGTATGTCATAATCTCACGATACACGTGCCATCGTACATGCGGCACGGCTTTGAGAGGATACTGGTCGCTGGCATCGCGACACTTCTCCTCCATTCGACACAAAAAAACCCACTCTGACTCCATTTCCTTCAAACACCGATTGGCGACATCGGGATTGCAATCGAGGAGCATGAAAAATCGCCAGGGAAAAAACTGATACAGAGCAGAAAAATCCCAGAATCGCTGAACTGTGGCTATGGTGTGTCTCCAATGCACTGCCAAGAGCTGCTCGGTGTCGTCGACATTGCAGATCAAGTCTTGGATGCTCTCTGGGCTCAAGGCAGACTTCAAAGTATCCCGGATCAAGTCTGGCCAATGCTTGACCACGTACGAACGAAGACGGAGACTTCCCTCCACGGACTTATCTTCTCGCACCTGGCATCTGCCAAACCGATCCCACCCTTCAAACTGAAAAATGAATCCGAACTGTTATTCTGAACCACCCAAAAACCCAACCCCAAAGTCCGCGAGCCTCAGCTGCTTGGAAACTTCCAAAAGGCTGGAGGCAATAAAAGATGCTCTTCCCATAGGCAAGGATGAGAGGCTGCACCAAGACCTGAGCAATATGACAATCACGGCATTTTTTCACCATGCCGAATGAGAAGGACAGCAATCTGATTTTCGGTAATGCACCAAACTTATATATGACAAATTAGCTTCGGAGCCAAGGATCCCTAAGGACCTTGGGAGCCAGAGCAAGATCGTCGTCCGAGCCAGCCTTGTCCAAGCTCTCGGAGAGTGCACTCCACGGATTTCGTCCTTCCAAGATCATCGCAAATAGAAGCACGAACAGGCGGCAATGCCACTCGGATCTCAAGCGGCGGAAGGAGTCCAGCAGGTCGCACCACCTGCCGGTCTTGTGCTCTGCACCAGTGCTGCCGCGCTTGGAGCGGCAAAAGGCAAGGATCGCCTCTTTGACTTGAGCCGGCGAAGCATCCGGCGAGAGCCCCTGGTCGGAAATGATTCCGGCACTGACCATGTCAATCAAGGGATGATCAGTGGGGATTTCACCCACACGTTCTCTGGCTTCGGCCAGCCTACGGCCAAACGCTGAAGTTGCCCAAGGCGCTCGGTCGAATTTCAAGATGAGGTTGATCTGCTTGCGTGCCAGTGCAATCTCTGCCACCTCTGAGGAAGCGAGAATTTCTTCTCGGTGTAGCTTGTGTAGTGTGTCACGGTGGACAAGCACCGCCAGCCCATTTTGCGCCATCTGGTACACTCCCGCTGCGTCCCCCTCGTCCTGCAAGCAGTTCAGCCTCAGGATGGATTGCCAGCCTGGGTACTGGGTTGTCTGCCAGGTCACCCCTGTCGGCGACCAAACATAGGGCAAGTCCAATCCATTCCAGTGAACGGTGCTCCTTCGTTCCCCATTCCGGCAGGGCCGAAAAGCATGCGGCAGGCTGTCAGCCAGGCGATAATCAATCAGAGCATTGAGCGAATGATTGATTCCAAGGAGTTTGGAACGTGTCGCAACTTTCTCAGGTGCACACAAAGTCGCAGGGCCACAGGAGGCCTTGGCGCCTTTGAGATCCTGCAATGCCTTCTTCGGCACCAGTTCTGCCGCCTTCGCCAAGTTCTCTGCAGCACTGCTCTCGGTGGTCTCTTTGAGCTGGGGTAGCAAACTGATGGGCGAGGAGATCATCAAGCCATCCGCGGACACCAGCACTTGAAGCACCTGGACCACACGAGATTGAACCAACGCATCGAAACCAAACTTGCCCAAAATCAAAAAAAACTATGAAAACCTGATGTTGTTTTCTATCACGCCCATACCTCGTATGTGCCGACCTTCGCAGCATCCTCGTACATGCTCATGTGTCGAAACTTCTGCACGGAAAGCTTCTTCATCAAGGCACTCCGGGCGTCCAGAAAGTAGCCGGTCAAGTACTGGTGTGCAGCACAAGCGCCCAAGCTTTTCCCCAGCGTTCCAGGCAGCTCAAGGTCTGTAGGGCAGATCTCGAAATTGGAGCGATTTCTCAATCCAGTCACGAAGCCTCCGCCCCTGGCCAAGAATCTTTTCAAGAGTTCTTGCCTCGCCAAGTTCGCGTTCCGGGTTCGCGACCCGGACGACCATGGCGTCTGACCTGGCTCCTCCTGCTGCCTCGGCGGCGTATCTCGCAGGTGTATGGAACCTTCGCACACGCCGGTCTCCCAAGCCTGGGCCAAGATATGCAAGATGCGTTTCTGTAGCCTGGTGACTGGGACCTGAGAAAGGCCATCTGAATCAGCTCGGAGTCTCATCAGAAACCAGCATACATCTGCAACAGGGACGTACCCGCCCAGGTTCTTGCGACTTGTGCCCAGAGCGACGCAGTTTTCCCACCTGCAGGAGAAGACAGATTTGAATCATAGAAAGCGGAAGGGAGGGGCTCCCAACCGCGAAAGGAAATCCAATTCTCAGCCTAAAGACATATTAACTTATGATGCTCGAGCATACGAAAAGGGAGTTTGAAAAGGACCAAAGGCCTCTGCTTCAGCGAGGCTCGTAGCTCGCGGTCGAAGAGCTTGAGAAAGCTCTTGAGCATGACCTGGCCATCCTGGACCGCCAACGTCAAAGTGGGAAGCAGCTTGAGCCCGTCTGAGAACTCCAGGAGTCCCGTCATGCGACGAAGCAGACTGACACATTTGCTCTGTACGTTCTCAGCCAAACCACGAATCTGTGCCAGGGTTCCAATCAGAAGCAGGAAGCCGGCGCTTGAGACACAGTCATATCTCAAGCCCGGCCATGTGAAAGCTTCTTGACTGCCTTTGTAGTTCTCGTGTCGCACTATGTGCTTGCGACTGAGCCCCCAGGAATCCGCATGCTGCTTGAGGGTGCCGGAGCTCTCGTTCTTGGAGTACCAGGCAAAAAAGCTGGTTGCCATGCTCAACTGGCTCCACACGTCTTTCACACACAGCAAATGCTGGTAGCCGTCCACATTCCGCTCCGCCGTCGGCTGGACCTCTTCAAGACTGACATTGTTGCGGAACTTTTACACTATGGGCAATCTACGATGTTTTACATTCCACTATTGCAGTTGCGAGGTTGAGCCCAAGCCTTGACCACCGTCAAGTAGTCAGGCTCCAATCGTAGGAAAAGCATCTCCAATGCGTCAGAGACTTCTGGACTAGGCTCTGCCACAGCGGCAGCAATCTCTTTATCCAACTCGCTATCCTCACGGCCGCCCTCAAGCAGGGCAGGTGGCAGAGGGAAATCACAGCCAGCACGAACCGCCGAAATGCAGTCCTCCAGCACATCTCCATCAACAATCCGATTGCCGAGCGTTGCGAAAGGGGCTTGCTTGGACACTGCTGCTTTGAACATCTGCAGACACCGCAAGAAAGCCGCGGCACCTTGTTCCGCCTTTGTCTGCAGCAGTTGGCAGATGGCATCTTTCATGTTGGCCTCAGACAGCAAGACTGAAGCAAGGCTCCAAAGCAGCCAGCGTGAAGAAAAAGACGTTATCTTCAATTACAAAACCACACCCGTACATTAGCACAATCAAGACTTGCATGAGAGTCTCCATTCCAGCAAATTTCGCCGCAACTGCTGGCAATCACCGCCCACTGGACTGCCCATGACACAAAAAGCTTTCCCGCGTCGTACTCTCACAGCTGGCTCGAATGTGTAACACTGCCTGCTGACATGCACTCGAATGGTGCCTGCACACTTGTTCATGTGGCCAAAAGGTAAGTCTGTTCATCCAGATGTACACCCTTGTATTGTCACATGTAGCCTATGCAGAGCCGACCAGGGCTACAGGAATTCATCCGTCTGGCAAACACACTCTTCAAAGGAAACCTGCCTCAGAACTTGAACCCTGTTCCCTTCAAGGACTGCCACCAGCACAACAGGGAAGCAGAGTTTTATTGCCCAAAACTCGGCAGCAAGACTGGCTGCTGCAACACGGATGCGTTTTGCAGGGCCTGGAAAACGCATCTGGCGTGGATTCTCTATGTTGTGTACAACCAGATGTGTGGATTTTCGCAATGTGCCCGTGGAAATCTGCATTTGCTTTGGGTTCATGGTATTCAGATCTCTTGAGCACACATCAAGCTATCCTGGTCCAACCCGACACAGATGCGTTTTCCAAGGCCTGGCAAATGCATCCGGCTTGCCTTGCAGTTGCCATTCCAGCTCTGTGCGTACTGGTGCCAAGACCGACACGGATGCGTTTTTCGGGGCCTGGAAAACGCATCTGGCCTGGATTCCCCATGTTCTTTACAGCCACACGTGTGGATTTTCGCAATCTACCCGTGGAAATCTGCACTTGCTTTGGGTTTATGGTATTCAAATCTCTTTAGCACACATCAAGCTATTCTGGTCCTAGTCAAAACCGACACGGATGCGTTTTCCGAGGCCTGGTAAATGCATCCGGCTTGCTTTGCAGCTGCCATTCCACCTCTGTTCGTAATCGTGCCAAGACCGACACGGATGCGTTTTTCGGGGCCTGGAAAACGCATCTGCCCTAGATTCCATATATTGGTTACGATCACACGTTTGGATTTTCGCAATCTACCGGTGGAAATCTGCATTGGCTGTGTTACCACAGTCACACTAAGACTTTCATGTTCGACACCCAGGCGCAGCCAGACTGCCAGACACATACAATTTCAAGGGCTGGCACATGCATCCGTGCAAGTATCATTCCAGGTTTGTGTGCTTTTAGTTGAGGTCTGAACTGATATGCATGGATTCATCAAGAAGTTATCATCTGGGCTGGATTCGTTGTATTGTTTTCGGCCACATGTGGATGTTCGCAGAAATACTGCATCTGGTATGGGCTTGTCGTAATTTGGTACCAGAGTAGTCTGGACTCAACTCAACAACGACTCAAGTGCATTCATCGAGGCTTCGAACGCAATGGAAGTCTAGCTTGGATATCTTATGCTGCTGGATGCGAGGACTCCGGATGTTCTCAACCTAGTCGTTGAATTCCAAACATGCCTCTCAGTCCAGCTGTTCGAATTCGGCGCACATTATGACCCGAACTAGCATACCAGCTCCTGAAACTAACTTACACCATCGCACATCTGTGAGTACGGGGACAACGAACCTTGACCACCGCACAGAATCAGAAAGCAGCAGGAATTCCAATCACAGCCGACTAGGGAATAATACTCCTCCGCATTTCGAATTAATTCACTGTGCAGCCAGAAACTGGAGGCCTCCGGAGGCAAAGACGATCGAATCGTAGCAGATGTCAGTGATATCAGCAAGCCTGAGAGCAAGCACCAGGTCCACAGCGAATACCGCCTAGATTAGATACGTATTGTGGAACCTAGCAGCAAACAACGGCCAAACAGGAGTTGTGAAAGCGCGGTCAGACATGCATGCAAGGAAATGGAGATGGAAAGGTTTCCATTTCACAATCCTGAGTTCCCTGGAACAGAAGTCGGCACGACAGTCCGGAAGCCCAGGCCCCAGCCGAAATGAGAAGTCCAGAAAACCAGAAGAAGGCCAGCACCTGGCCAAGGACGAACAAAGCAAGCAGTTGCTGCCCAGGGATCAGAACAACAGCCATACGTTCGGCCACGACTCATGCTACACTGGGAATGCATGCGCGTGGCAGGTAAACATGACGATGCCTTGCATCTGCAGTGAAGAAGCTCCAAGATCTAGAATAGCCATAGCCAGCATGCTTGAAGATTCAATACCACGAACATACCTAAATCAGAAATCCCTGCCTCCAGAGTTTGCAGCGCCACAGCCGTAAGCAGGCCGTTGAGAGCACACACGTGAGGAGAATTGAATCTCAAGAATTCGGATTTGCGGGCTGCTCTTTGATCTATTCTGGGAATCTAGGATTCCGCACAGCTGCTCTGATGTCGTATGTTTTAACAGCATGAATGAATCCGCGACACACAAGCCAACCTTCGAACAAAACTGGCAAAGGGACAAACTGCCTGTCAGTTCCCTATCTGCAGTGCAGCGACCATCCGGCCCGAAACAGCCAGTCCCAAGAGTGATCCAACGAGCATCGGCCCACCATCCCAAAACCAAAATCCGGACTCCCGAACGAGAAAAACCCCTAGGTGTGACCAAGCCAGCGGCCACATCAAAGTGGCCGTTGTCGCCACGCACCTCCAGAAAGCGTTTTGAATGAAGAAATAGGGCTATGTGTAGCACAGCACTTACACGAACACACTCACCCAAGCTTTGCCATTTGCGGTTGAATCTCCTCTCCGATGCATGCTCCCTGGTGCAATATTGCGACGAGAACAAGAAGCACCTTACTCAAGAGAGCCTGCTAAAACATCACAGACACTGGGAGCGATACGAGAGGTGGCAATCATAATTCTAATAATGGGCATGAAGCGATCAAACTGTTTGCCAATATTTTTCCGAAAGGGGGGCCTCGACATCGGATCATCGTCGAGAAGCGAAGACGGAGCAACCTGGGCCACGTGGCTAAAGTACTGCGCATGGTAGCGGCTTTTAGGAGTCGTGGCATGGCAAGTCTTCATAGCAAAAACAGAACCGAACCAACATGCCTGCACATATGCCTCGCTCACAATGTGAAAACCAAACTGACTAAGCACCCAACTAACTAAACCACTGGACTGGTGCTCGGCCTCAGACTCGGAAGCGAAGCCTTTGCGGCCCAATCCCAACCTCGACAGACAAAGGGTAATGGATTGGGGGCAGGGAGCAGAGGGCCCAACGCCCATCAAAAGGACAGCATGGCACAAAATGAGCATCACGAACATGTCTGTTCAGGACAACACAACATGCCGGCCCCAAAGAATCCCGAACCAATTCAAAGTCCAGAAATCTCAAAATACCGAAGTGTTTAATCCGAGAGCCCGGCGACGAATGGTGTTGCGCAAATCCCGGCCTGCAACCGAAGGGGAACACAACCAGACACAAAATGCACAGCCACACAACGATCATAAAAGGAGGCAGTTTTCATTTCACCAGCACGGAAGATCGCAGCGGCTTCATCCTACGCCACAGGAGACTGAAAGCCCGGCCGGAAGTGCAGCACACATTCGACGTGTTATGTATTGTTTAGAGTGCATGTTTGCTGCTGGACCCCAAGCCCGGCCCAGTAGTATTATGTTTTAAAATCACCCCGGCCCCAGTCCAGTCACCCGTCTGTGAGATGGGATATTGACCCCGATGGACCCCTCAATTATGGACCCCTATGACCCTATGAGTTAATACGTAAAGTTTAATCACCCCTAAGCCCGGCATCCATCAGTCCCCCTTCTTCTCATCCTTCTTCTCATCCTTCGGCCCTTCACATGGCTGCGATGTGCCCGATCCTGCACGACGGAGTCATTGAGCACTACAATACGGTCCTGTGCCCCTCGTGATCGAATACTCATCGGGCGGGGCATCGCATTCGCACGCACTGATCAGGACCTCGCAGCATCAATACAAGAACTTCAGACAAATAGCAACAAATTTAATTACATGTTGCAGAGTCCAGCCTTTCCGGTCTGGCCCCTGCTCTCTCTCATCTGCATCTTGAATGTAGCCTTCCTCAAGCCAATGAACTTGCGTAACACTTCCAGCGTGTGCGACTGCCCTGAAGTCCAGGCCTCGACTCCGAAAGAGAGCCCCACCACGCGGCGGGGACGGCAACCATGAACTCCCCCAAATCGATGCCGACCTCGGCCCGGAAATTATATTATGTACACTCACCAAAATGTACGCAGGCAATCCGGTGATGCGAAATGAGCCCTGAGCCTCTCCCTCGCGAGGGCCATCAGGCGACAACGAGCCCTTCTTCGCCATGCCGCCTACTAATGGATGCTGACTATGATTGGTCCCGTGACTAGGCACTGCCATGCTTCATGCTTCAATCCTCACTTGAACGCGGATAGCCAGTTCAGGAAAGGCTCCAAGCGATGCTCAATCACTGCATCCACAATCGATCAGAAGCGAATCATGCACTTGCAGCAGCAGCCCGTGCCTCCTCTGGCAAAAACATCCGGCTGGACGCCATCAGGACACAAACACGCTGTCATGTGCAAATCTCTTGAATGCATGTGCACTGTTGCCTGTGCTAGTGGGCTACCAAGTCGAGATATCATGCTCATGCCACACAGGAATGCAAGCAAAAGGCTCGGCACGTCGAGGTCTGCGCCGAAAGATCAAATGAAATAAATGATATCGTCCCTTGGCAACTACAATCTATTCAATCGAGTCAGTCAATCCCGCGTCTCAGAACCATCTTCATCCCCTCCCTTGCCAGCAAGGCAAAGAGCTGACCACACCGAATATTTTGTCACAAGCTGCTGTTATTTATTGGGTTTTAGGGGTTAGGGTTTTTTTTTCGATTTAAGGTTTTCTGCACACTCGCACATTCGCAGTTCAAGGTCATTGCCTACGCATCATGAGCAAAAGCATACAAGCAGACCGCCTAGTCACACATTCGATCTCCGGCTGCC